GCGCGAGACCGCCGGGAGGAAGGGTCGGCAGATGGACAAAGGCTGGGGAGCGGAGGCAGGTCAGAGGGAGGGTGAGTCAGGGCGCAGCTCGGGAACCCTGACGGGCCAACAGAAGGCAGTGCCCGTGGGTGACCGGCGGGGAGAGCCGGCCAAGACCAAGCAGCTCGGCGCCCATTTCCGCAGGGCCGCATCCCGCATCGGCCAGTTTAGCACAGGTCCATCTCCTGCTGGTCCTGGAAAGGCTGGGCAGTGGAAGGAAGCCACCAGAACGTCCACCCTGCCGAGCGCCCTCTAACTCCCAGACACGCTGGGCGGTGGGCGGGGCCCCTCAGAAAAAGCCATGGGATGCGGTAAGCCCCGCATAGGCAGGACCTTCAAGTCTCTGGACCCTGACCGCTGGGCTTTTTCCTGGTCCTCCCCACCTCCTGCAGCCGGGAGCCTTTATAGTGTGCGGGAAAGAAGCTTAGATTGGGGGAAGCGGAACATCTCAGAAGGGGCCGATGCCTCCAAAGAGGGGTCGCGGGCTCAGCACACTGGCAGGACAAGTGCCTGGGTGCTGGGGGGTCAGCCCAAGCACTATCTACATGGGCAGCTGGAGTTGCTAAGTTGGCCTCCAGAGGCTGCTGTAGGAGGTGACCTGGGGTGGCTAGGTGTGGGAGCAGAGTAAGGGGTGGACAGCCCTTTTCCTGTGCATCTCTGGGGCCTTCCAAGCCTGGGAGGCAGCCCATGGAATGTGCTGGGACCTGACAGGGCAGGAGTTAGCCTCACTGGCTGCCTGGCCTTGGCTGGGTCTTCTAGGCTGGAGGAGCCACCCCAGGGTGCCCAGAGGGCCAGGCACTACTTCACACCCTGACCCTTGACCCCTAGCAGGAGGCCACTGGGTGCCAGTAGATCAGCAAGGCTCCCAGCTTGGGCCTGGCTTTGTAGCTAGCTTGGCTGATCCTGTCCTGGGACCTGTGACAAGCAGATGATGGATGCCCTGGGCCTCAACTGGCCCATCTGTAAATGGGGCCAATCAGCATTATCTCCACTGCAGTATGGGGTGTGGGGTGGACTGGATGGCTCAGGGGACCACGGCTAAGGCCTACCCAGCACCCCGGCCCTCCCTGCCTCTCCCCTAAAGACCAGGAGGCCCTGGCTTCCCTGTATAGGTGCTGGGCTCTTGGCCCAAGAGAGGCAGGGCAGAGCGAGGGCAGGGACAGTGTTAAGAGGCCAGACCTGGGCTGGTCTGAGGGCTGACCCAAGCCCTGCTGGCTCCTTGAGGAATTCTCAGCAGCAGGTGCCCTGGGCCAGGAAGTATAGGCCCTTGGGACAAAGAAGGTGGGGCACCCCCCTCCTTTGGCTTTAATTACCCCGGTGGGCCTCATTTACCCTTGGCTGCCAGGGGAGATGGGCACTGACCCCAGGGCAGAATCCAGGGCCTGTGGGCTTGGTGCTCTTGGGACCTGGAGCTGAGAGAGGTCCCCTGGGGCCTTGTCCTCTCTGGTCTCATCCACTGCCCAGGATCCACCTCTTCCTCTTCAGTTACCATGGCGGGGGTCCAGTGGGGCCCTGCGACCTGCACCCCAGCTCACTTCCACAGAGGGACTGAGAGTGACCCCTACTGGGCAGGGGCCACCCTTTTCAGGAAGCCCTGCCCCCTCTCCTGGTCCCTGATCTCCCCCTGGGCCTGCAACAGGACCAGCCACTTTGAAGTGCAAGTGGGGACATGGGACACCTCCCATAAACCCCTCTTGTCCTAGCTCTCCCTAGGTCACAGCAAGACAGATGTCAAGTTGAACTTGAAGAGGTCCTCCTGAGCCCTCTGCTATGGTGACAGGAAATCACCTCTAGGACTGACACTCACACTGTGGAAACCCATATTCACCAAAAAATATTTCCGTCTTTTGAAGGATGTACCCTTGGGTTCGGCAGAAAGAGCCCAAGTGTGTGCAGGTGTCAGGATGCCCGCCCTGCAGAACTCCTGTGCACTCTGTCCCCAGCTGAGAGGTGCCCTCCCTGGAGCTGTTTTCAGAACCACAGAGGTCAGCTGGTCAGGGCTGTCTCCCCTCCCTGCCAAGGAGCAGAGGTCTGTAGCTGATGTCCTCACAGTTGCCTGAATGGGCTCCTCATTCTCTCAGGCACAAGGCTGATCTTGGCCCAGCACTGATCCCCTGGGGTCCTGACTGGCAGGGGCTGGTCAGCCGGTCAGCCAGACCCCAGCCCTGAGCCATCAGTGGTCCATGTGCTATCTGGCTCCCCAACATCCTCCTCAATTTTTTTCTTTTCTTTTTTTGTGGTGCTGGGGATTGAACCCAGAGCCTTGTGCCTGCGAGGTAAGCACTCTACCAACTGAGCCAAGTTCCAGCTCCCAATACACTCCTCAATTTCTTAGGGACTGGTTCTACCATTGGCCCCCTGCAAATGGGACCAAGACAGTGGCTGGTCGGCATGACCAGCCCCAGAAAGTGGCACAGGCTTCCTGTCTCTAAGCGTGACCTGTGGTGGCAGGCACACCAGGGTGCACGCTCATGGTGCTTGGCAGCCTCTACCCCATCATGTGGCAGAACAGCTCGACATCCACAGGGTGCCCGGTAGTGCCTGCTGCCTGTGTGAGGGCAGCTGAGACACTTGGGCTGCCTGTTGCACATGTATGGCCTTGTAGCGTGGCTGGGCCATGGGCTCTGCTCACCACACCTGCTGGCCCGTGTGCGCGAGCAGGCAAGGCTACCTGGCTGGAGCCAGGCACGGCGGCAGTTCCAGGTTTCGGGGGTGCCAGGCAGGCAGGCTGCACGAGACAGTTGCCTGGGAAACATTGCAGGATTTGCTGGGCACATAACAGGCGTTCAGGCCCCCATGAGGCCCGGGTGAGGGCGTGCCCCAGCATCCGCAGGCTAGAACCTACCAGTGGTCAGCAGTCTAGATACAGGGTTGGGGGTGCAGCCTCTAATCCCCAACTCCAAAGGCCCCCAAACCAAGCGGCATCTGGGGAGGGACTGGCCCTATTCCAGAGCTCCCATTTGAGCCACTCTTGGGGACAGAGACCCCAGCCTGATCACCTCTGTTCACAGCAGTCTTTCAAACCTTCAGAGAACTGTCACTCCCTGTTCAAACCCTCCCATGGCTGACCAGTTCTCCAGCCCAGGGACTCTGCCACCCTCTGATCCTTGCGGGACCCCCAGCCCAGGGCTCTGACAGCCCTCGCAGGCCTCAGGCCCTGTTCTGACATCCCCTCCCCCCAATAACCCCCCAGGCCTCCACCCTGTTGCCATTCTGGGCTCTCCTGCAGCACAATGGGAGTGCAGGGTAATTCCAAGAGGCTCCTGTGCACTCTGTCCCCTATCATGTCCCCACAAGTGGAAGTGGGGACCTGGGGGTGCCTTCCTTTGGGGAAAAAAAAACAAGTGGAGACAAAGCTTTGGAATGTCGTGGAGCGCCCCAGAGGCGGTGTGGAACCCGCTGCCTTTGTAAGGAACACCTGCTGAGGGCAGTCCCTTGACTGAGGCCGAGCCCCTGTACCTTCGCGGCCCTGCCCGGGACACAGGCTCCTAGCAGTGCTTTAGGTGGACACAGGACTTAGCACATGGGCGGCCAGGCCGGCTGCACGTGTTGGACTCTCTGTTTCTTGCAGCACTGCAGTGGAACCCAGGGCCTTGTGCAGGGTAGGCGATGTTCCCTACTAGGTGGGGCCCCTTGTTTGACCTTCCGAGTTGCCCACTGCGTCCTTCGCAGGACACTACGTGAACGTCCCCCTTGCTGCTTCCTGTACTGGAAAATCAGGCCAAGGGTGGCCCGGCCCCTGCAGGGGGCTCCAGAGACCCAGGTCGCCCGTCCAGTGAGCAACCCTGGGAGGTGCATTCCAGAAGGACCCAGAACACCCCTGGGCCTGGAAGTGAGAGGGGTCAGGTCTTGTGACTGCATTTGAAGACTTGGTCACTTGAGAAAGTGACCCGAAAGCAGAGGCTCACACTGGCACCCCTCTTCTGCACCTGTGAGCTCCTTCATGGTCGGTGGAGAACCAGGCTGGGGGGAGTCCTGCAAACCTGGCACCAGTGCACACCCCAGGACCTTGACTAGAGCTGCTCTCCTTCATGCTTTGCACCACTCCTTTCTCCCTGGCACCCAAGAAAGAGGTGCCTGTCACATGTGCTGTTCCTGGCCCCAGAGACCGGGAGCCTCAGTGTGTCAGGTCCCTTTGAGCAGTCTCCTGCCTCCCAAGGAGGCCCCTTCTAGAAAGCCCCCCTCCTCCCTGGCCACCCCTGGTGTGGGCATCTTCCCGAGAGCCTCATGACTGGCCCACAGCGCCCAGTGTCTCCGTCAGAGCTAGATGGCCTCCTGTGGGCCCCAGCCCCTGCCTCCAGCGCGCTGCCCCTGGAGTGACCCCCACGATCAATGGCACAGCAAGCGGTTGCACAGGGGTGCCTGGGCGTCTGCTGCCACCACGTGGTGGACTGGGGGGGTGCAGGAAGGGGACGGGGGAGGCCTCGGGGCTGCCACCGCCGGCACCGCCTCCCGGGCACCGCCTCCCGCGCCCCGCGGGGTTGGCCGCCTGGACTTCACTTTCTTCCCGTGTAGGAGACGGAAGGGCCTCCCTCTTTTGTCAGGAGAGGCTCGTGGCAGAGGAGGGCGCCCGCGCCTTGTGTACTTATGGCGCCCTCCTGGAGGCAGGGGCTGCCGGAAGCGGTGGCCAGGTGGCCGGGCCAGGGCGGCCTGGCGGCTGGACGTGTTAAGGGAGCGGGACGCGGGTGGGACAAGCCCTTTGGCCTGCGTCCTGGGAAGCTGGCACCGCGGTCCGGGAAGGGGGCGCCCACCCGGGCTCCACGGCAGCTTGGCGGGGGCGACTCCGCTGGGTCCCCAAGGCTGGCCTCCAGGCGCTTTGGGCTGCGGCCTCCTCGCCGTCGCCCCCGTCGCTCCGCGGGGTCCGGCCGGGCGGGGTCGACCGCCTCGGGCCCGGGCGGGGTCAGGTCCGGGGCGGGGTCCGCGGCCCCGGCATCTCACTTCCGCCGGACGCACGCGGGCAGATGGAGGCGGCGCGGAGGAGGCCGTGCGGGAGGCTGAGCCGCCGGAGGCCGCGCTCGGGGGACGGGTGAGGTCAGGACGCGCGGGAGGACTGGGCCCCGGGGCGGCGAGCTGGCCGCTCCTCCACTCGGCGACTCTGCATCGCGGAGCCGCCTCCGGGCGCGGGCTTCCTGTCCCTCATCACCGGCCGCGGTCCTTCCTCCCCAGCGCCTCCCCGGGCCCCTGCCTCCACCCACACTCCTCCCGGCTGACCTCCACTGTGCCCCCAGGCCTCCCGGCGGCGGCCCCTGGTTTCTCCTGGCGGGCAGCGAGAGCCAACCCTGGGCCTTGCTGCTGCGCATAGCGAGCTCGGATCAGGCCCTGGACGGCGACCTGCTGCCCCCCCTTCCCGCTTTCCCCAGCCAGGTGTGTTGGCCGGAACCTACGGCGGTTCTCCATCAGAGCCAGACGGGTTGTCCGGGCTCAGGAGGGCCCAGGTGCCACTGGGCATGGCCAACCACCTCGTTTTGCAGGAACCTGGGCCTGACCCCGAGCATACCTTGCCTCCTGAGACCTTCACCGTTGGACCCAAGGCCTTTTCTTGGACACCCTTTCCGTCTGCCCTGGGGGGCCTGGGCTGCTTCTACTGGGCTGGGTGTCACCCAGAGTCCCCCACTGGGTCCCTGAAAGGACACCCTGAGCCTGATCCTTGCGGGACCCCCAGCGTCAAGGAGCAGCTGTCTGTGGAGGGGCCCCCAGCCCTGCAGAGCTGCCCAATGTGCCAGAAGGAGTTCAGCCCCGGGTGAGTCCCCCACCCATCCTGCAGGCCCAGGGACCCGATCCCTTTGTGAAAAACCACACCTGAGAGGCTGCGAGGAGGCCTGGGCCGCTATCACCTTTCAAAGCCACATGCCACAGATGGAAGGTTAGCACAACCCAGTGACCCTGCGGGGCTCCCTGTGGCTCCTGCTGTGCAGGTCTGGGGTCTACCTGCTGTCCACCTCTGTGTGCCGTGGGAGGAGGCCAATGGGCACTGACCCTCTGCCCAGGTGTTCCAGGTCACAGGGGACGTGCAGCATTCCTAGCCCAGAGGGGGCTTCTAGGACCAGCCAGGCTATGGGCTGTTGGTCTCCTGGAGAAGTAGCCACATGAATACCTTCCAGGGCCAGTGGGGTTTTCAGAACAAAGGCTTTGTTTTTTTTCTGCCAGATGCAGTCTTTCAGGACTGTGTCTCCCAGACATAAAAGGGGCTGGGGATGTAGCTCAGGAGTAGAGCACCCCTGGGTTCCTTCTCCAGTAACCAAAACAAACATAAATTACTATATTTTTATGTCTTTTTTTTGGTACTGGGGATGGCACCCGGGGGTGCTTAACCACTGAGCTACATTCCCAGCCCTTTTTATTTATTTAAAAATAAAAATTTATTTACTTAATTTCTTTAGTTGTCAATTAACTTTCATTTTTTAAAACATTTATTTATGTGAGGTGCCAAGAATCGAACCCAGTGCCTCACACATGCTAGGCAAGCGCTGCAGTGCTGAGCCCCAGCCCTTTTTATTTTGAAACAGGGCCTTGCTAAGTTGTTTGTTCAGAGTTTTGCTAAAGCTGACGGAGGCCTTGAACTTGTGATCCTCCTGCCTCAGCCTCCCTTGTGGCTGGGATTACAGGCGGTGCCACTGGTCTGTGCCTCTTTTTCAAGTAAGGGGGTGGAACCTCTTCTTTTGCTAAGATGCAGTCCATGAACTACCGCTTTGTCCTGCTTCCTGCTGGACCAGCTGGTTATCTGTGGTCTTTGGCCCTCCTGTTTGGTCTTATTGAGGGTGTCCAGCCATGGGCCTGGGGTCAGGATGGTAGTGTTCAAAAACACATCAGGCTGAAGTAGAGCTCTGCGGGGCAGATGTCCAGGGTACATGGCCTGGAATCCCCTGGACAGGATGACCCAGGTCCTCACAGAACTGTCTGGGGAAGGCAGGCATGTGGAGAAGGGACTGGTTCCAAGGACAGGCTGAAGCCCATGGTCCCTGAGGGGCTGAGGGGCTCCTGGGGACTTTAGGGTACTTTGACTGGGGGCTGCCAGTAGAGAGAACCACTGGTGGTCACCAGGACCTGGGAGCAGAGGGGAGCTGTCACGGGGGTCAGGTTTGGCGAGGGAACTTCCTGTTCTGGTCAGGGGCACTCAGCCTTTGGGCCTTGATGTCCCCTTGTCATAAGAGGTAGTTGGTCATTCTGGTCTCCTTGGTCTGTGACTCTGAGGTGCAGAGAGGTGCCTTTCTGGCCATCTACCTGGCACATACAGGCCGTGTCCTGGGAGGTCTGTAGGACAGGGAGCAGGCATTGGGTTGGCCAGCAGCATGTCCAGAGGGTCCTTAGGACCAGCGGCAGCTGCACAGATGCGAGAGAGAGCCTCGGGCGCATGCCCAGACCAGGTCCTGCTGGAAGCCACCTCAGAGTCCTGCTCTGAGGGGTGCCATGGGAAGTGAAATGGAGGCTGTGATGGCCGCACAGATGGGGTAGAGGAGCCACGGGGAGGGGCACAGAGCAGAGCCCAGGGGACCATGGTGCTCGCCGCCCCACTCGGAAGCGCCTGGTCTGAGGAGGGAGTCTGTGGGAGCCTGAGCCGGGTGGCAGGAGGCCAGGGGACACTCTGCTTACAGCCTGGTGGACTCTGGGCCATACAGGTGGACATCTAGTGTGTTGCTTCAGGGGGACACTGGCCATGTGGCTTCCAGGAAGACCTGGGCTCAAGTCTTAGTTGAAGCCACTGCTCAGCTCTATTGAGCACCTCTGCCGGGCCACCCTCTGGGAGTTGCAGCTGGGACCCACTGCCCGAGCTCCCCCTGACCGTCCCTCCCTGGGCTGCTGGTGGGGTGATCACTGAGCATGGAGCGCGCCTGCTGGTCCGGGGGCCTCCCTGAGCTCTCCGGCTCTGGTGGGTTCCCTCCTGCTGCCCCTCCCTGGGGCCAGCGTTTCAGAGCCGCCTCCTCCTGGATCCTGGAGTCCAGGGCAGGCCCCGCCCAGCTGACAGTCCTGCATGGGGCTTGCTTCTTCCATGGAGAGACCATTCTCAGTCAGGCGCAGTGGCGCGCCCCTGTAATCCCAGTGGCTCTTGAGGCAGAAGGATCCTAAGTTCGAGGCCAGCCTCTGCAACTTAGCAAGGTCCTAAGCAACTTAAACCCCATCTCAAATAATAAGGAAAGGGCTGGGGATGTGGCTCAGTGCTAAAGCACCCTGAGTTCAGTCCCTGGAGCCAAAGAAAGGGACACAGATCCCAGGCCTGAGCTGGCCACCTTCTGCCTGCTGCCTCCGCTGTGTGAGGTTGGCGAGGTGCCTGCAGGTGCTCCTGCCTTCCTGCTCAGGGGGCTGGCTCTTCCCTGACGGTGCTCCTGGAAGATCTGCCCCCCAAGTGCCTGACCTCCTGCTGCGGAAGGCTAGGGGGGCAGGCTGCCCATCTCTGCTGCTGTCCACCTGTAGATGGGCTTTCAGGGTCAGCCCCATGATGAGTGCGCTTTGTGGCCAGGCAGGCCTTGAGTGCCCTGGGGCTGGGGCAGGAGTCCAGGGCCTTGTGGCCTCTGGCTGGAGGCAGTTCTCAGGCAGTGGGCAAGGTTCCTGAGGTTGAGGTCCCTGCCTCTCATTCTGACCAGCTGTGGAGCAGGCCCCTGGGCTCCTCTCCAGCAGGACCTCTAAGGAGCTCTGGGGGAGGCGTGGAGGTGCCTATCCTATGGCCAGTACTCTAGGAAGGGGCTGAGTGACCGTGTCTGTTCTCTCTCGCAGGCTGGCCCAGCTGGACGTGGACAGCCACCTCGCACAGTGCTTGGCAGAAAGCACGGATGATGTGGCATGGTAAACCACCGGTGTCCAGGGCAGAGCTGCTGAAGGGGGGTCCTGGCCTGGCTGTCCTCACTGACCTTCCTCTCTGCTCCTGAACGTGCACATTAAAACTGGGGTGTGGGCTCTCCCGCCTGGCGTGCTAAAGCTGGGACGCTGGCCTCCTCTGTTTCTGACGTGGGAGTCGGGCAGAGTCCTGACCACTGTGGGGAGTCCGTGGCCCCGGCCCCAGGTGGGGAGGCTGTGCTTTCCCCAGAGCTGGGCACCTCTGCCCACGCCACCTGTGTGCACTCAGCTGGGCCTGCTCAGGGCAGCATGCCCTCCCTGCCGTGAAGCCTGATGGCCTGTGCCAGGCAGCTCGTCGCTGCTGGGACCGAAGGACCTGAAAGAACAACTTGGGGCAGGGACAGCTTTTATTTTGGCTGCGGTTCAGAGGCTTGGTCCATGTCCGCTCAGCCCCTTGCTCTGGCCTGAGGCGAGGCAGCGTGCCGTGGTGGAAGGGCATGGGGCAGGACCCCGCTCCAGAGAGGGCAGCCCGGAGGGAGAGGGGGAGAGCTGCAGGGGAGACACACTGCCCAGGGCAGCCCCAGCTCCCAGCCAGGCAGCCCATTCTAACAGGGTGGACAGTCAGGCTGTAGCTCTGTCCAGCCACCTTACCCCTGGATGTTCCTGCATTAACACAGGAGCTTAGGCCCCTCGAATCCAGACCAGAGCACACAGCCACACTGTTGACCCCCTGGTGTGCTCACCTCCACAGGCAGGTGCGGTGTCACCAAGGGTGGCCGTCACAGGCCTGGCGGTCGCAGCCCAGGCTTCACGGGTTGAGGTCCTTGCCCTGGGTGTTATGTGTGAGCAGTGGGCCATGATGTCTCCAGGACAGAGAGCTCCCCGGGGAGTGTGTCCTGAGGGCAGGAGAGGCGATGGCACCAGGGGCCCTACGGCCTCCTTGCTGAGGGTCAGTGGTTCCCCAAGCATGGACAGGCCTGTTCCTGTCAGCCACCTTTTGTTTGGTTTGGTTTTTGATACCGTGGATTATATCAGGGTGCTCTACCACCGAGCCACACCCAGCCCTTTCTTTATGGGGAGACAGGGTCTCACTGATTTGCCGAGTGGGCCTGGGGCTTGGGTCTTCAAGCCTCAGCCTCTGGCTTGCTGGGGGGACAGGTGCGGCCACTGCACCGGCTTACCAGTGACATTCGTTCAGGGGATTGGGCCGCTTTCTCCCGGGGCCTGGCCCAGGGGTTCTGAGGAGCCAGGTTTTGGTGCTCAGCAAGGCACAGGATCCGGTGGGAGAAGCAGGACATGAAACCCAGGGTGACATCCAGAAATCGGGATTTTCCTTTAAAAAAATAGCTTTGAACAAGCTTTGAAGGCACATGCAGGGAGCGGGCAGCTCAGGGCCAAGGGTAGGCCAGGCTGCATCCTGGGGCACTCGGGGAGCCTGTCGAAGGGCCACTGTGTTGGGGTTCTGCAGAGCAAACCTGGGAACCGTGCGTGGACTCACGGGAAGGTTGGGATTGGCTCTTGTCCTCAGGCCAGGGCAGGCAGTGGGGTCCAGTCTCATGGCCCCAGAGCGGGGCAGGGAGCCCGAGGCACTGTCCTGAGTGGGAAGGCTGCTGGCAGGAGCTGGAGTCCCAGGGCTGTGTCTGGCCAGGGGAGAGGGCATCCCAGCCCAGTAGAGGCACAGTGGCGTCCTCTCCGGTCCTTATCTGCTGGGCCCTCAGCGACTGGACTGGGTGGTGTGCAGGGCAGGAGGTAGCCTTCTGGGGCCTTCCTGCCACGTGGACGGCCTGCAGGGCACAGCTTCCCAGGGAAGGCCTCAGCTTGGCCCAGACAAGGCGCAGTGTGGACTGGGGGAGGGTGCAGCCGGGACAGTGCGGCCCACTGGCAGGATCACGAGGGTGAGGCCACGCGTGTGCGCGAGGGGACACAGGGCACCGGACCCTCTGCTCAACGGGGCTGTGAACCAGAACTGCTCTAGGAAACAAAGTCCACCTGAGGGGACGGCCCCACCCGCTTCCCAGAGGGGCCTCGCACACACGAGCAACCACCACGAGACGAGCGAGCACTTCGTTCAGTCTTTAATAGATGCACAGGAACACGACGCCGTGGCCGTGCGGGCAAGGACAGCGTCTGCGGCAGAGCTGGCACGCAGGCTCTGCCCAGGCGTGCGGGACGCTTCACCATCACCAAGGCACCAGATGTCATGAACAATTTCCAAAAGCTGTGCTCGTGTCTGGACTGTTCGAAGGGGAGGCTTTTCCAAGCCAAGCTTTGATACATCCCTCACCTTCTTTAATTTGTAAAACAAATTCCTACATATAAAAACGCCCTCTCCCATGAGCTCAGTCTCACCGACACCTGTCCGCAAGCAGCTGCGCTGGCGCCTGCACGTTTGGCAGCGTGGCAGTGTCGGAGTGAACACCCTGAACCGGGCAAGCCAGGGGCGAGGGGCTCCTAGAGGTGGCTGCCCCCGGACAGGCGGACCGCATGGCCCTCAGACCAGGGCTCGGGGGCCGCCGTACCCCGGGGGGGCTGGAGCTCTCCTGGGCCCCACAGGTGGCCTGGGCCTCTGTCCCTGGAGGGGGTCTCACTGGCTGAGGCTGGGAGTGCTGCAGGGCCACCTGGGAGCCCCAGCTGGGGTGGGGTCAGCTAACGCACCAGGGCAGCCTGGGAACCGGAAGCACTCCGCAGGCCTGTCCAGCACCTGGACCCAGTATGAATTTGTGACACGTTCAGTGCCAGCTGCTGCAGTGGCCTCAGGAACCTGAGTGTGTCAGGGGGACTGCTCTACCCAGGTCTCTGTGCAGCAGGGGCAGTGGATCCTGCACCTTGCACTTGTGATTGTTTCTAACATGACCTCCTCGGGAGGCCCCCGGGGTGAGACTGGCCTCCACACTGCCTTGTGGGGAGCCAGAGGGCGTATGGCGATGTCCCCAAGGCACGCCAGGATAGCTCTTAGGGCACAGAGCCCCCTGGCCACTGCAGCACAGGCCTCCCACACACTGCCCAGTGGCTGGGGGGCTTAAGAGGTGGCTGGCACACCGAGGGGCCAAGGACTTGGCTCACCTCTTTCTAGAAACCTGGGAAGCAGCCCTGACCTGGCCATGCAGCACTGCCCTCCTGGAACCAGCGCTGGCTCTCGGGGCTGGCTGCTGACCGTAAGGCCAGGGTCCCTCGCACCGTTTTTAAATCTCTGAGAGTATCACGTGACTGATAAATTTTCCCAAAACTCTGACACAGAACACAAGAATCCCGGAGGCACTGGTCAGCGTCTTCAGACACATTTTGTGCAGATTTCGTTTTCAGATTTTATTTTTCCTTTTTTTGGTCTACTGGTGCTTTGGTGAGCGACGTCTCAGCATCTCTGGGATCCCAATTTCCCCACCGGGTCCATGGAGCGGGCAGGTCAGCTCTGCCGCTCTGGCCAGGGCATCAGGACCAGCCCACTGCCGCGGCTGGTCATGCGCGTGGTGGGGGAATACTTGTAAATGTCACATCAGGAACTTACCGGGATCTAGAAAACGTTCCGAATCAGCAAAGGTTCCTTGTGCAGTGTACCCCTGCAGGCACTTGGACCCCGTCCCCCACCCACATCCGGACTGCTCCCAAGCTCGGCTCCTCCTCACATCTGGGCTGCATCTGCAGGTGCCACTCGGAAAAAAGGCATCAGAGGGACGCTGGACACCATCGGGACATTTTATTCCTCAGGACACAACACTAAGTCTCCTGGAGGAGCACGTCAGTGCATCGAGTTCTGCTTCTGTGGAAAATGTGCACCTTCGAGATGGCGAGTCTCCGCCTGGGTAGCGCCGCGGTGGTCCACCACGCAGGTCCAAGAAGCCATTCCCCAGCACGAAGCCGGCCTCTCCAGGCCCAGATGCAAGGGGCTGCTCTGCCCAGAGGCGCCTGCCTGAGGGGATGTCTCCCTCCACAGTCTCGGGCCAGCGTCCCTCCCTGGCGGCCCAGAGCCTCGTGCCCAGCCTGGCATGCATATGCTGTGGTGAAGGATGAGGTCACGGGGTCATTCACAGGTATGTCCACGGCAGAGAGGCACGAGGCCTCACACGGACTCCTCGGTGGAGAGCAGAAGCGGGTTGATGTACTCGAAGCCTTCGAACTCAGACTGGTCGATCCTCTTTATGACGTCCCTGGAAGCACAGAGAAGGGGTGGGTGGGGGGCCGGTGCCTGCTCCCTTGGGTTCTGCTGAGACCCCCTTGCCAGACCCATGGTAGAAAGGGAGGCCGGGAGGGAGCCGAACTGGAAGCAGCTGGTGCCCTGCACCTCAACTCGGCAGCCCAGGAGGGCGTCCTGACCCCTGGGCTGCCCCAGCACTTACTCATCATCTGGGGTCAGCTGCACGGGCTCGCTGGTGAACTGCGTGTCGAAATTGTCCAGGCCGTAGTCATCAGTGATCTGCGGCTGGAAGGGAGGCAGGGCCTGCTTCTTCTCTAGCTGGGGAAAACCAGGCGAGGAGCCTCAGATCAGTGCGGGCTCCACCCCCAGATTAGTCCTCGGCACTCGCTCAAACCACAGAATGAAATGGGAGAAACGCTGCTTTTCGGTATGCCTTGTAGATGGATGCCGAACACCCCTTCTTCTTAAAACAAAACCTACAGCTGGGCGCAGTGTCACACGCCTGTGATCCCAGCAGCTTTGGAGGCTGAGGCGAGAGGATCTCGAGTCAAAGCCGGCCTCAGCAAAAGTGAGGCGCTAAGCAACTCCATGAGACCCTGACTCTAACAAAATACAAAACAGGGATGGAATCTGGCTCAGTGGTCAAGCACCCGAGTGTAATTCCTGGTACTCAAAAACAAAAACACACACAAAAAACATTCTCTCACCCATTCACTAACTCACCTAGGAGAAAATATCCAACAGCAGAAAAATTCAACTTGAGCTCAAAAACACTGGAGGCCTGGGCTAGGCAGGCCAGTCCCGGGTGGTGAGGCGCCCCACCCCAGGCAGAGACCTCCACGCTGGCCGGCCTTGCCTGAGAGCCACTGCCACCGAACTGGGGAACCGGGGCTCAAGTTTCCTTCCGTTTTGTCTTAGACGCACAGGTGCTGGGAACACCTGTGCCCTAGTCCACAGTGACCGCTGAGCAGGG